TTTCTTTTGTTCGGATTGACGGCAGCGGCGATTCCATCAAGGTTTTTCCTCCCCATTGAAAAGGGCAGAGAAACGCAATCAAACTCTCCCAGCCTCACCACGTGCTTAGCGAGGAGCGGTTCCCGTCACAGAAATCCATCACAGGGGACACAGGAGAGACAATCCCATCAGATCGTTTCTTCCACAGATATTCCCATTTTGCTGAAGACAAACAAAGGCCCAGGAGCCAGCCATGGCACTCAGCCCAGTGCTTGGCTGTGCTGCCAAAAAAGCCGCTGCTGGATGGAGAGGTGCTTTATGGGTCCTGGGGGTCTCTCTGTTCCTCCCACCAAAGCCAGGAAAATAAGGGGGTTGAAGAAATGCAGCTTGCATGCCGTGGCCACCCTAAGACCAGCTGCTGCAGCTGGGCGTCAGTGCTGCTGCCTCCCACCGCTTCAGCCACACCAGCTATTTCTTAAAAATAGATTTTTTGCTTATTGGAAAGGACAAAAAAATAAACAAGAAACCTTTCTTTTAAGATGATGCAGACTTGTGTTTTCACAAATCCAAATGTGACCTAAAATATCTGCTTTAAACCCCAGTGCTGATTCCTGGGTAAATCACTGCGTTCAGCCCTAGAGGCCACCCCCAAACGCACAAAATAATGCCATGTGGGTGGATAAGAAAAGTACATACATTGACATGGGCATTTTTTTATCCTTGTGTAACCACCAGGCAAGCTGACCCTTACAACTTCATCGCACAGTCAGCCCATAAGGGGATACAGGAACATCTCAAGCGATGGCAGAGCCCACAGCTGACCTTCCCAGCTGCTTGGAAGCAAGGACAGGTAGCCTGGGAGGAATACAGAGAAATTTTTTGAGCAGTCAAGGATCAGGTTAGGAAAGTTAAAGCCCTGATAGAATTAAATCTGGTCAGGGATGTCAAGGGCAACAAGAAAAGCTTCTATAAGTATGTTAGAGGGGAAATGTGGGCCCTGTCTGGAAAGAAAAGGGAGACCTGGTCACCTGGGATATGGAGTAGGCTGAGGGACTCAACAACATTTTGCCTCAGCTGTCACCAGCAAGGGCTCCACCCACACTGTTCAAGTCACAGAAAGTAAAGGTAGGGACTGGGAGAAGGAAGAACTGCTCACTGTAGTTGAAGATTGGGTTCGGGTGCATCTAAGGAACCTGAAGGTGTACAAGTCCATGGGACCTGATGAGACGCATCTGTGGGTCCTGAGGGAACTGGAGGATGAAGTGGCCAAGCCACTGTCCATCATATTTGAGAAGTCGTGGCAGTCCAGTGAAGTTCCCGCTGACTGGAAAAGGGGAAACATAACCCCTTTTTTAAAAAGGAAGACCTGGGGAACTACAGGCCAGTCAGTCTCTCCTCTGTACCCAGCAGGGTCATGGAGCAGATCCTCCTGGGAACTATGCTAAGGTACATGGAGAATAAGGAACTGGATGGATGGTAGCCAACTGGGCAGCCTGAAGAAGAGAAGGCTCTGGGGAGACCTTCTAGCAGCCTCCCAGTACTTAAAGGGGCTACAGGAAACTTGGGAGGGACTCTTTATCAGGGGGTGTAGGGATAGGATGAGGGGAAAGTGAAAGAGGGGAGATTTAGATTAGATATGAGGAAGAAAATCCTTACTGTGAGGGTGGTGAGGCCCTGGCACAGGCTGCCCAGAGAAGCTGTGGCTGCCCCCTCCCTGGAAGGGTTCGAGGCCAGGTTGGATGGGGCTTTGGGCAACCTGGGCTAGTGGAAGGTGTCCCTGCCCATGGCAGGGGGTTGAACTAGATGATCTCTAAGGTCCCTTCCAACCCGAACCATCCTATGATGCTATGATTTTCCTGCCTGCATGACAACAGAGAGTGGGAGTGCTCCCCTTGGATGCTCACCGCTCACAAGCACATGCTGCCAAAAACAAACACACAGACTGCTGCTAAAAATCCTTCAAATCCTCAAAGCGAGCATCTTCTGGCCATACTATCTCTGGCCATCCAAAACCTCATGCCATGATGCACTGCCAGCCACCAAGCCCCTCTGGATGGCAAGCGGGGTGGCCCTGCTTGCACACGGACGAACAGCATTTGATGTGGACAGCCCAGTTCCACCAGTGTCTCCCCAAAAACCTCCCCGTCCTCGCAGACATGTGCTGCCAGGCACTGGGCATGTCCCCACACAGGGCCAACACGAGAAGCTCCCTCCCTGTGGCCAGTCAGGAGGTTTTCCCAGCGAAATGCTGAGTTTCTCCCCACTGTGATGCCCAGGAGGGCTGGTTCCATGGGAAGCCATCCCAGCAGGACCTGCAGACTGCAGCCAGCTCTGGCACCATCTCCTCAGCTTTTGGGGAGCAGCCAGCCAGCGGGAGGCAAATTTGGGGCGTTACTGGTGGGGACATGCGTGCAACCGCAGCACATCCCCATGGGAAGGCACAGGAAGGGGACCAATGTGTGGGGGGAGCGCAGCCGGCCACCCCTCCAGCACAGGGTGCAGCAGGGTGCCGCATGCCCTGTTTGCAAGGCACACATGCCTTCCTGCTCAAACTAAAGCCAAATCAGCCCAGTATTTCTCTCTGTGCATGAAACAAGAGAAGGACAAGTGCTCACCATCCCTTTTTGGGGCAGATGAAGGCGAGCGGCCCCCTCCCCAGCTATGCCATGCTGCCACTTGCCCAAGGACGAGGGCAGAGGGTCAGGCATGACCTGCAAGAAGCAGTCTCACAAAGCCCGTTTCATCCCACCCTTGCCACGTCTCTGCCATCCTGCTCACGGGCAGGGCTTACTGCAGAGCTCTGGGGCACCCCTTGCTTTCCTGGAGGGACTCACAAAAATCCTCCCGGTCCCCATCCCACCAGTTGTCCCCATGCAAACACCACCTCCAGTGGCCTCAGGGATTTGACCCAACACCGTGGCAGAGCAGGCACCCAAAACCTCCCCGCTGCCTGAGCGGCAGCACCACTTGCTGGACACGGGAGAGCTCACAGCAGCACCCTGCCCTGCATCGCCACACAGAGGAGACAGCAAACACATCATTACTACAATTTTAAACCAAAGCGACAGCTGTCACCGAGCCCTTCTTGCACCTCTGAGTTGCAGCCAAACCCGTGCTTGCTGTCTTTCACCCCAGCGCTGGGACCGCGCAGCAGCAGTTTGGTACCCATGACCCTGACAGGCATCATCACCGTCACAGCATCCCCAGCTCCTCCTCATGCAGCTGATGCAAGGGGTCCAAAAAATAAGTGACAAGTCACAGCCAAGGTAGCCACTGTGAAGTGGGGACCAGTGGGGTGGAGGAGGTGAAAGGGAATGAAAGGGCTCAAACAAATGAATTTCTGACAATTCTGAAGACTAAACTGTGATGTATGAAAGCTTTGGTTGTGCTTTGCTTTGTTTGTTTCAAAGACTCCTGACTCCTCAACTGTTCCCTTAGGTCCCTTTGTCTGTTTAGGTAAGATTGAAATGCTCCTTAGGCTCCCTATAGAAATCACTGACAGCAGACTCAAAGCCTTCCGTGGACACTCAAGACAACACCTAGAATGGGAAAACTAAGATAAGGGGGGTCTCGAACAAAGAGACACAGAGGCTCCCACATAGGGAGGATGATTCTGCTGATATAGGAAGGAGGCACCTGGACTTTACTGCACAGCGCATGCTCTGGAAAGAAGGTCAACTATCAAACGCTATGAAGAAGTCTGCTTACTTCTTCCCTCGACCACCGAAGACCTTTACCCTATTTTCACTAGGCATGCTTGGACTATGTAAATGAATTCTGGGAACTCATTATCATAAGACACCCCTTTCTAGGAAATCTAATGAATATGTATGATTTGCATGTGTGTAAACTGGTGTCCCTTGCTAGTCCTTGGGAGCCCTTATGGTGGAGAATCCCCAGGGTGACCCCAGCGCTGCTAATAAAGAATTCCTGCTTAACAGTAAAAAAACTTTACTGTTAGGTCAATGTCTTTGTTTCAGAGGCAGTCAGGAAAGAGGCTCATTCCTAGGGCAGTGGCATGGGGAAGCTGCACATTTCAGAGCTGATCTCATGCAGAAGTAGAAAAAGCTTACCAGGGTGGAAATTAAAACATATACTCTACTGAAAGCTGTTCAGCTCCCAGCTTTTGTAGTGGTCTAAAGAATCTGCAAATTAAGTGCAGATTTGCTATAAGGAGTAAAAATTATTCTGTGTTTTTCCTAGTTCTGAATTGAGTATTGCAATGCCCAGCAATGACACTGCTGACCCACTCAGAATCCCAGAATCATCTGGTTGGAAAAGACCTTGAAGATCATCTAGTCCAACCATTAACCTCATACTAACGCTCATGCTGACCCCTTGGAGACTCCCCTGCAGAGCCACAACCATGCTACGCAACAGCCCACAGCTTCCTCCACCAGCATCAGCACCCACGTGCTGTGCAGCTCGTCATACGCACGTGAACAGGTGAGAGGCATCTGGATGGGATTTTAAACAAAAACGTGTGGTTTACTTGCTTACTAGTAAGAGGGGAGGAAAAAAACAGAAAGGGGAAAAAAAAGAGGCTTTACCCGTGATGTACCAGCTCACAATGAACTCTTTTCCCCCACTCACCTGTGTCTCTGCTGCAGGGGGCCTGGCACCACGGGCCACCGAGGACACCCAGAGCCAGTGGTCCAGGAGAGTCCCCATGCCCTGGGGCATCTCCTTCTCAGCCTCTCTCAGCAGAACAATCCTGGCTTGCATTGCAGCAAGTGATAGCCATGATATAGCAAAGCCCCAAGCCCATCTCATAGGAGCCATTAGCTTTTCCACCCACCCCACTGCAGGGCCACCCAGGAGCAGGGCTGGCCCTTGGGGAGCCTGAAAATAAGGGGGTGGGAACACCCCTCAGCCTCTGATTTTCCCTTCACCCCAGCACGCTGCAGGTCCCCGTGCAAACAGCCTGCTCTTTGCTCCCCGCTCGCTCCAGTCTGACCCCAAATCACAGCACCCAGCTCCCCAGGGAGAGAAAACCAGCAACACCTCAAAGCATACCACCCTGGAGTTTGATGGTTTTAATGGTAATTAAAGAAATGAACAGGGTACATTTCAGCTTTGAAATACAAGTGCAAAAAGGATACAATATAATGTTTTCTGTACATTTCTTACAAAATATTACATACATCCCATCCTGAAGTGGTACTTCACACACCGCTGAGCCCACACACCACGTAAAGCTGTAGCCTTTCCTCCTTATGTGCAGGACGTGGAGCTAACAGAAAGCTCCGTCTGGAGTCTGGGCAGAGGCTTTTAGGGCAGTGGCAGGTAAATACAAGCGGTGAAGGCAGGGACCTTTCTCCCCAGCATGCCCTGATGCAGCTCCCGGAGTGCAGTGTGCCCCTGTGGCAAGTGGGCAGCATCACCCTGCAGCACTCACAGCTTTCAGCTGCTTGCCGGTTTGGCATAGGAAATGGCTTTTCTCCCTGTGGTTTGGCCTTTTCCCTGTGTCTGGCATCACCTCCCGCTTTGCACCCTGTGTAGCATGCCCAGGTCAATCCCTGATGAACTCACCTCCATTTTATCCACAGCATCTTCTCAGGAACAAATCAACCAGGCTATATAGCAAATAAATTAACCCCCTCCTCCCCCCCATACCCCCCAGCACCGATGAGGCTTTGGGGCACAGATCAGTACCCGTCCTGGCAGTCGTTATCATCGTAGTCAGAAGCAGGCTTGTTGTGGTAGGCACCCGGCCGCCGTTTGCGGCTCTCCAGGCCCTGGGGAGAACTGTCGTCCCCATGGCTGCTGGACTCTCGGGTGGCGTCCTCCTGGGAGCGGCTCTCCTCATTGTCATCATCATCATCCTCCTGGGACTTGCTGTTGTTGCTCTCTGTGGAGCTGCTGTCCTCGCCTGCACTGTCCTCCTGGCTGCCGTCATCCTCCGGGGATGCGTTCTGGCTCTCAGCTGATGTGCTCTGAGTGTCTTCATCGGGGTTGGAGTCATTCTTGTCCTCCTTTGACTCCTCTACGGTGTCCTCTGTGGACTGGCTCTGCTCACCATCATCTTCCCCGGACTTGCTCTGGTCCCCCTCATCTTCCCCGGACTCACTGTCAGGCATGGACAGTGCACTCTTGTCTTCAGCAGACTCCTGATCCTCCTTCTGTCCTTCCCGGGACTGGCTGCCGCTGCGCTCGCTCGATGTGCTCACCGCCTCCTGGGACATGTCCTCCGGGGACTCCCCCAGCTCTTCGTCAGACTGCTCGGCGGTGCCCTCGCTGGACTTGCTGTCCTCATCCTCTCTGGAGGGGCTGTCCTCCCCATCCCTGTCCTCTCCAGAGCGGCTGGTGCTGTTTTCCTCTGACTGGCTGGCGACAGACTCTTCCGACTGACTGTTGTCCTCCGTGGATGGGCTGTCTTCTCCTGAGTCGGTGTCCTCCACCTCGGGGGACTCGCTGTCACCCTCATCCCAGTGGTGTGAGTCAGCCCCTCGGCCACTCTCTCGGCTGCTGCCCGGGGCGCGGGGGCCAGCACGGCGCCCCTTGTAGCTGCTGCCCGGACCGTCAAAGACGGAGGGATCATCTCCCTGCATGGCTTCATCCTCAAAGTCGTAGCTCTCCTCCTCCTGGCTGCTGCTGCTGCTGCCTCTCTGCCCGTAGGTCCGCTCATACCGGCTGCCGAGGTAGTTCCTGTACCGCCGGTGGTCCGCCCCGATGCTCTCGCTGCTGCTGCTGCTGCTGCTGTCGCCGTGCCTTCTGCCAGCTCCAGTATCCTCTCGGCCAGCATCGCCGCCGTGTTCGCCTGCCCCATCAGCACCAGCCACATAAGTAGGACCTTCGCCCCCCTCCTCTTCCCCATTCTCATCGAAGGTGTCATCCCCACTGTCATCCTCCTCGTCCAGAAGCCCACCAGCGTGGGAGGGAAGCCCGTTAACCCCAGTGCCGTGGCGCTCTCTGTTGTCATCATCATCAGCATCCCGTGCATCCTCCTCCTGTGGAGGTGACAAGCAGAGAAGAAAGCAAAGGCTTGCAGGTAACAAGCACTATTGACACAGCTCGCCATGCAGGCCAAGACCAATACCAGATTTGGGGCTAAGTGTGCCTTCCTGGGCGAGAAAAACATCCCTCTCTACCCACTCACCAGGAAACCAAGGCTGTTCCCCAGGCTTGCGTCCTCGTGGTCCACCCAGTTCAGGTCTTGAGCCTGCCCAACTCTGCCTCCCTGGTCTCGGCCACCGTGCTGACCCAGCTCCTCACCCACGGCGTTTCCACCCGCTGGGTCCCCAGTAAGGGTATTGTCCCCCTTCTCTGCACTGGCAGAAGGATGTCTGCCGTCTCCACCACCCAGGAGGTTGCCCAGCTTGTTGATGTCATCTTTGCTTGCTGTGTCCTGGAGGCAAAACATGACAGAGTGCTTTGGTTTATTAAACACCATGACACGTTTACTGCTACTGCTGCTGCTGCAGGATGATATATCACTCCTAAGCCATGCAAGTGCTCAAGCCCTTTTTCATTGCTCACACCTCAGCCCTTCAGTTGTTTCTGCTGATGAAAAAACCCAACAGCCACCAATAAAAGGGCAACCCAGAAAAGTCCAAATCATGATGGTTCAGAGCACAGAAACTCCTTTTTCAGGGCTGATGCAGCAGAATGCATCAGGTGAACTGGGAATGTGCACAGGGAGGCATGGTGAAATGAGGTGAAACCAACCCAGCTTGAGAAGACTGAGGAAACAGGCAAAGCTCAAAGACCTGCAGAAGGGGCAGCTCTTCCCCCAGGTGCCTGGTCCAAAGCTGCCTGCCTGGGGCTGGCTCCCCATCCCAGACTTGCCCCACGAGCAGTGGGACCAGGGCATCCCTTGGCTTACCTCCTGCTGGGCGCTGCGGCGGGGGCGGGCGGGCTGGTGGGCAGGCACCTAAACGTATCCAGGAGACATTTGATCAGTGATCAGTGCACTTTGGAGGGGCAAAACCACCGGGGGTTTGAGTACCTGTCCAGTGAGTACTTACAGGGTGACTGTGGGCTACGGCCCAGAGGAGCAGCACCAGGAACGCAGCCCTCATGTTGGTTGTGGTCCCTGCGGCTGCAACAGGGAGCAAAGTATTTGCACACTAGAACAAAGCATTTGCGTGTGCCCCTGGCTGTAACTAGGTCCCAACTGATCAGCCCTTCCAACTGACACAGCCTTGCTGTCCTGGCACACAGTGCTCACCCTGGCATGTCATCAAACAAGCCAAGGATTTGTCCACGTGCCACCTCCTGGCATCTCCTGTGCAGCAATTTCCCTTTAGTTTGGGACTTGAAATACCTGGCCATGTTCTTGCAGATTTTTTGTCTAAGCATCATTAAAGATCAGGAAAGGTTTTCCATATTCCCTGTTCCACAGGGGCCACCCAGCTGAGCTCAGCAGCCTTGAGGGGAGCTGGCACCACAGGTGAGCAGTGCCATGAGACCATGGGCTGTAGGGCTGTGCCTCCCACCCAGCGTGGTCCCCACAGCCCCATGACCCCACAGAGAGCTGCATCCCCAGTGGCCACTGGGTCCATCTGACATCCCAGCCGCACCGCTGCCTGTGCAGGCAGGTAAAGAGCTGAGGGATCTGCTGGAGTTAAGAACTGTCAGTGTTAGATTAAGGGTTGGACTAGGTGATTTTCAAGGTCTTTTCCAACCGAGATGATTCTGTGATTCTGTAAAGTAGCAGGGGGCCTTTCTTCCAGCTCTGTTCTCATTTTCCAAGCCCCTTCAGCAGCCCATCACCGCATCCCCACGGGGCACACTAACTGTACTGTGCGTCACCCTGCACCTGAAACGTGCTGGAGCAAAGAGCCACACTCCTAATTTCTTCCTTTACAAAGCAATACCTACATCCCAGCTTACAAGTCTTTCCTGTTTTTTATCAAAACTTGCAAGGAGATCTACAACCCCTGCCCCCAAACCATTGCCATTTGCACTCCGGGCAATGCCAAAGCAACCCAAAGAAACCAAAACCTTTACCTTGAGGTGTGATGCGATCTGGCGTCTCCTCCGGTGCTGGGGATGGGGCTAGCTGGCTGCCTGTGTGGAAATGCCCCAAGCTGTGTGCCCTGGAGTGGCTGCATGGGCATTTAACCGCTGCCCGGTGCCAGCCCCGGGCAGGGGGCAGCCAATGGCACCAGCAGGCACCGCTGCTGCGTGCGGAGGTGTCGCCGGGAACTGGCCTCCCACGCTTCCGCCGGGACGCTGGCCCTAAAAAAGCTCCTTGTGGTTGCAAGATGACGAGACGGGCTGGCAGTTAATGACCGACTGCACCGGCCCTGTGTTTTGACTGCTAAATTTATTCCGTTCACACACTTCCCGCCTCGACACACACAAACAACTATGGTGTCACCCATGTCGAGCACCGGACCCCATCCTGGGGATGGCATCCTCCTAACACCTAACACAGGCACTTGGGAGTGACGTTTGCCCCCCGCCACGGGCCAAGGTGCTGAACCCCACGTGGGACCATTCCCCTGCTGGGACTCAGCCTTCCCTTGTGCCCCGGGGCAGGAGCACAAAATGCGGTGCTAGAAGGAGAGGACATGCCTATTTTCATGCCCATACACGTGTTCAAGCAAGGGAGAAAGGAAATACTAAATGGAGGTGTGCAGGGAGGATCCCACCCCCTGCATGGAGAGGGTGTAGCACCCCCAGCGCTTCTTCCAGCTGCCAGCCCCCCGGGATGAAAACAAATCTCTGGAAAACAAGACATGCACATGTGTATGGGTGCGTATATGCATGGGCATGTATGTATGTATGAATTCATATGTATGAATACATAGACACACGTAGAATCACCAAATTCACCACATATACCCCAGGGTTTCTTGGTGTAGCGTGGATTACCTCCTCCAAACAGTGGAGTAAACCAGCAGCACAAGAGAGCCCCTACTCGCTCACAGATAATACAAGAGTGAGTTTGCAAATACGTGCACATACGTGCGCACACCCTGACGTGTCTCTGCCCAGGAGGTTTAGGACAGGACCAGCGTGCCCCAGCCCTACACCCAGCTTTTCCCTCTGCCCCATCCTGGGCGGAAGGAGAGTGACTTCCTTGCCTGTATTTGGCTGTTACTAAATCCTCTGTGCCCGCAACACCTCCTCTCTGCTAATAAAAACACCCCGCAAATGCAAATAGGATGCTTTGAAGTAGGACGCGTGTCTGGGCTCTGCAAGCCAGGTTCTCCCTGCACCCACGCCGCGGGTGATGGGCACAGCCACGGGGAGAGGGGACCAGGAGGAGCATGCCTATGGGTGTTTTATTGGGTCGGGAAGCGTAAATGACAGCGTTGATGCACTGTGAGGAGTGTTTGCACGTCCTTCCCTGCGGGGAGGAGGTGTTTCTGCTGCCCTGGGTAAAATAAAGAGGCTTTCAGACAGCAGAGCCCCACTCGGGGGCTGCCGCGGCAGGGGAAGCCCATGAAACAAGGTTCACCTTCAGCAAGGTTTCAGAAGGTTTCAAAAGCTTTCAAAGGGCTTCTGGCCTGCCCTGCTGTAAAGCCCTGGCAAGTCAGTCCCCTGCAACAGCCCCTTGGTACAGGGACCCCAAATTTCCAAGGTGGGGGCACAGCCCAGAGGACACGGCAAGGGCTGCAGGTTCACAGGGATTCACAGGACACGCTGGTGCTGCAAAATAAGTGAAGGAAACCTGAGGAGACTCAGGATTGACACAAGGGCTTTGTAAACTGCAGATTATCTGACTTTGTCTGGGATGTATCATACACAGACAACAGCATTCAGAAAGCATCCCCCACGCTGTGACAGCACCACAGCTCAACAGAGCATCTTGTGAAACCAGACATGTCAGTCTGCTGTTGCGGATGCCTGCTTAAAGTCATCCTCCAAAATCTCCTGCCTTTTTCCCCCATCATTACTCGCCAGGGGACCTTGTGTGTCTCCCCGGTGAGGACTGTGCAAAGACCATGCAGGTGCCAAGTGTGATGAGCATCTTTTTTCTCCTTCCTCCTGCCCCCCATGCAGAAAGGCCCCAGTGCTGCCCAGGCGCCACTGCTCTCCCCACAGCCCCTTGGCTTCAAGACGGGCACCCTGAAGCTGCTCACACACACACACACACACTCTTCAGCAGATGTTTTCTCTCTTCTTCCCTACCCTGCCACAGATACTGTGGGATATATTTTCCTCTTGACCTGAGACAAAATTATACCCCTGTCCCCAGTCAGATATGAGTTCACATTGTCAACCTTTTTTAGGCACCTCCAACAATTACCATGCTTTGTTGTTTTTTTTTTTTTAATGTCAGACCTGCATTTAACTCAGCCCTCAAAGACCTGGTGCTGCCTCACGTCCAAGCACCGCTGTGCAAGAAGGGGATAAACACCGAGCTGTGCATATCTACCTTTTTTATAACACAGGCCACTCTGCCCCAGTGGCCACCCACCCCCAGGTCACCTCCCTCCCTTCTGGTGGCCCCAAAATGCCCGTGGCACCAGCGCACCCAAGACAGCTTGCTGCTAGCACCCAGACCTGACCCCAAGTCCCTGTGATCTCCAGTAGCCCTGGGTCGAAAGACCAAGGTCTGTCGCCCAAATCCCCTCCAGATAACATCACACAGCATCTGTCAGACTGCCAGGGCAGCTCTGCCTTTGTTTTGCAAGGAAAGGAAACCCCAGCATACACATTGTAACCTTAAGATAAACCTTTAAAAAAACCCAAAACCAAAACAATGATATTTAGGAATTTTGTTGTTACAGTAGAGGTGAGAAATGGACTGAGGGTGGGGGAAGTGGCTGTCTGACTGGTGTTTAAAATGCAACTGTGCATTTCCCCAAGTCCTACTCTCCTGAGATGCTTGGGCCCTGGAGATGGACAGGATGGGAAGCAGAGGGGCAAGGAAGTTGGGGTAAACGTGGCCCAGCTAAACCCTCAGGCTGGCCAGGAGGAGGTGGCTGAGTCAGAGATGAGAGGATTGGCAGGGCTAGTAGAAAGATGCAGGAATATCCCTTTTCTATTTGGCAAGTTGAACTTTGTTGTGTTCATGAGGACAGAGACAAGGTATGAGCACAGACAACAGGACAGATCAGAGATGCCAAAACCAAGAGAGAAGCTGGCACTGCAGAGAGCAAGCTGACAGCCTAACAGCTGGTCTCCTCTGCCAATTGAGTCATCTCAGCATCGAACACTCAAGAAATTAATACTGTTCCAAAAAACCACTGTTCCCTCTTTTTCTTCCGTCCAAGGTATTTTCACAGTATTTATGTTGCTGGTGCACTTCTCTCCTCATTATACAGGTTCTGACGGCAGCATCAAAAGGAAAAGGATCAGTGAACAAACTGGAACAGGAGAGACTAGGATGAGAGCAGGACTCAAGACACACATTCTCGGCCCTTTCCCAAGCACTCAACACAGCTCCTGCCTTACGCTCAGATCCAAATCCTAATCCCTTTGCTGAGCGCTTACTGGTGACAGGTGCTGCATTTTCAGTTGGAAGCAGGCAGGAAAAACCTTGCTTCCTAAATATTAATTTCTCCCATATCTGCCATGTCAGCATCAGGAATGTCAGCGCCTGATCCCAAGGGACTCATTCCCACACTGCTCCTCTAAAAAAGGATGCTCAGCCTTGCAAACCATCCAGTTCCCACATTGCTACCTGCTTTGCAGGTGGATGGACCACAGCTGGCAGCTGAGGGTGAAGGGGGCAGAAGCAGCCTGGCTTTGGCTCCTCTGCACATCCAAGGGATCTGAGCAAAGACATTGTGCCTGTTCCCTGAAGTCTGAGTAAGTATTACCCGTGTTTCATAGCATTAACGTGACACACAATGCAGTAGCTAATGATAACATTTTAGGTGTTTGAAGATCAGCATTGATAATTCAGCTCCTCCTGGCAGCAAGCCTCAAAGATACAAACACTGTGATATACAGCAGATGGAAGTTACCATTGTGATTTTTCACAGCTCGGAGGCATGCACAAGTTTGGTTAATGCTAAGCCTTTAGAATTTGCTATTTCTCCTCACTGGAAAAAAAAAAAAAAAGATCAAACAAACAACATCACAGGAGCCTGAGTTCTGGAGTCCTGAATTACAGACACACACGGGGCCCTCCTAATGCTAGCCCGCTGCACAAGACCAACAGCTCCCTGAGACCACAGGGGGAGGATCATTCACCCACCCTTAGGTGTCTACTCCGGAGTTTCCTTTACAGCCAGAGAAAACAAGCACTTTTAAGGTGCCAAACATTTGCCCTATTTCAGGCTGAAACACATCGCAGACTGTTTGAAGTCTCTATGACACCGCCAAAGGAAGGCGACTGGCATGCTGATCTTGTCTTACCAACAAGATCCACCGTTCTCCTTCCAACAGACATGCAAGGCAAGTTCCCGAAATTCTTCTCTCCCCTCCTCCCATGCAAGCCCCACGCTCCCTTCACTTTCTTCTAGCACTTTTATACCGCCCTCCTCTCAGCAACTGGCTCCAGGCTCTTCACAAATGTTCTTCCCTCAGAAGAAAATGCCATGCAGAGGCATTTGCCAAAACCAGAGCTGTATAGCCACCCCCATCTCTCCTGGAGGCTGCAGGCAGATGAGCTGGACAGTAAGGACTCCGTGCAGAGAAAAGCAATTAACTCTCAAAATTAAAAACAACTATGGGAGTAACACTGTGATTACTTTTTCCAGACACGAGATGTTCTTGCCTAACAAGGGCCAGCCCCATTTCTCTTAGGGGAGCTGAAACCACTACATGTGAATAACTGGTTACGCTCCTATTGCCAGCTGCTGATTTTCAGGCAACCATCAGATGCAAAAGCCCCTTCCCAAATGCCTGCTGTGGCTGGGGAGTATAAATGAGGCTTCTCAGTCCCTTGCACCTACATTTTTGGGAACAGAACAAGGTTGGTTCCTCTGCAGCCCCTATCGCTCCTCACCGCTGTCTCCACATGCATGGCTCCAGCCTCTTCTGGGCAGGGGAGCCACAAAAACCAGCACATTGCCTTGACAAACTGTTTGGACGAAGGCTCGCAAGCATTGTACCTGCTCTGCACTGCTTTGCAGTTTGTGCTTCTAGTCATTGCTGGGGTAAAATGCATGGAGAAATTATTGGTATTTGCACTGCGCCCATCACAGCTGGAAGTTGTGGCTGGGCAGGTACCTTGTGCTCATCTCTGTGCGTGACCAGATTCTCAGGTCCTGTAAATCCATATTTATCAGAGAAATTGGCTGAATTCACTAATCTGAGGCCATGACTTCATCAGCTGTGGACCAGGTG